TTTCAGTTTCAGTTCAGTTATATATGCCAGGATCATGATATTGTTATTATTTTCATTGTTTACTTTAGTATGAGTTTCTGCGGAGCACAGTGTATTAGTGCTCATGCCCCCACATTTTTTATGCTTTTTTTCAGGTCACAGAGTCGGAGCCGAGGAGTGAGCGGGCGATCAGTTCAGGACATTTGTTTATATGTGTATATTATGTTTGGCTACACTATGACTCCGCTACTGTTTCCAGTACTCTAAACCAACTTTTGACCCGACGTTAGTCGGTTAAGATATTATATAACCGTTTTATTATTAAACTAAAAAATTAACGATTTTCAGAATAAGACAGATTTTACGGTAACACTCCGAATCAGATTTCGCAAAAGAAATATTATATTTATTTTTATTTAGAAAATTTATGAAAGTGCGCTCAATTCATGTTAAGGCGGGGTGTTACAATTGGTATCAGAGCACGTTTCTGTGTCTCTGAAAAGTTTTACGAGTCAGAAATTTTCAGAAAACCTGAACTGTCACGCTCACGCCTCGCCGACTACAGTTAAATGCTGATTTATGTTTTTCAGTTATAAACATATTACTTTGTCTATGCTCAGAAATTTATAAATCATGACTTAGTTAAGATGCTCGAATCAGGTTCAGACCTTAGAAATCAGTATACTAAGATATAACTCTAGATTTCCTCAGGATTCATGTCAGTAATTTTCCAGCCATATTTGGCAACTCGTCAAGAGATTTGTGTACTTTAGTAATCAGTTAAAGTATTTTTGATGTGTTCAATAATATTGAACTTCCTCAATGTTTAGATGTCGCCCCGTATGGAACCCGATCACCCGGTTCTTACCCAGGCCACAGTAGTCGCACAGTTTCGCGACTATCATGCTGAGAAATTCTCCGGGCAGGGAGATCCCCGTATCGTGGACGAGTGGATTCAGGGCCTTGAGTTGATTTTCGAGGTCATGGATTGTCCAGATAGATATCGCATTATATGCGCTCAGCTTCAGTTAACCGGCGATGCCCGACTCTGGTGGAATGCTTACTGGAGTATGCGTCCCGGCGAGAAAGTGGGTTGTACCTGGAGTACTACCCCACTTATTACCGAGCAGAGATGGAGCGTCAGTTTCTGTCGCTCCAGCAGGGTACTCGTTCTGTTGATGAGTACGAGAGGGAATTTACCAGACTTGCTGCACTTGCAGCTTTTGTTCCGGACATGGTTCGTACGGAGGCACATAGGGCACAACGCTTTATTGACGGGCTTTACCCAGCAGTTCGTCATAATATTGTAGGTCACGGGACCCAGACGTATGCTCTTGCTGTTTCAATTGCCCAGGAGGTGGACGCCAGCATAAGGAGGGAGGTCATCCGTGATTGTTCTCAGCCATCCGCCCCCGCCCTGTCATCCACAGCTCCACTAGTTCCACCAGCTGCCCAGCCGACAAAGAAGAAGAAGAGGAAGGGGAAGGGTGCCCAGACTGACAGGAAGACCCGACATAGACAGCAGTAGGTTCCACCGTGCCCGACTTGCGGACGACTTCACCGAGGCGAGTGTCGCTTCGGCCAGGATGTATGCTATTACAGTCATGAGCCCAGACACTTTGCTAACCGTTGTCTGAAGAAGGCACAGCAGCCCCTGCAGCCTCAGCAGCCACCGCAGCAGCAGCAGCCCCGTCAGCAGGCACAGAGGCCGCCTCAACAGCAGCAGCAGAGGGGCAGACAGTAGGCTCGAGTTTACGCAGTTGATCAGGTTGAGGCCGAGCAGCAGCCAGGTATTCTGTCAGGTATGATCATGCTTAATAATATTCATGTTTTCACTTTGTTCGATATTGGAGCGACGCACTCTTTCACTTCACGACGATGTCTTGATGCCATCGGAGTTCATGCTATCACCGCTGTCGATCCTCTCGAGGTGAGTTTAGCCTCGGGACGAAAGATAGTGACCTCAGCTAAAGCTTTAGATCTTAGCCTCTCCATCGGTGGCCGAGTATTGTCTACCGACGCGTATGTTCTCGAGATGAGGGACTTCGACCTTATTCTCGGAATGGATTGGCTATCCTTTTATCATGCAGACATTCGATGCCATGATCGGGAGATTACTCTTTATCTTCCGAGAGACGATTCGATTACCTTCTTTGGCACCAAGAATCGTTCATTACCTCATGTCGTTTTGATGGCGAAAGCCACCAAGTTGCTAGGACGAGGCAACTGTTAGGGTTATCTGGTGAGCCTTGTCGATGATTCTCAGAAAGCACGATCAGCTCACGATGTTCCAGTTGTTCGTGAGTTTGTGGACGTGTTCCCAAACGAGCTTCCAGGAGGACCGCCTAACCGGCAGGTGGAGTTCTCTATCGATCTCATTCCGGGAGCCGGCCCAGTATCCAAAGCCCCGTACCGTATGGCGCCGAAGGAGTTGCAGGAGCTTAAGGCGCAGATCCAGGAGTTATTACGACTCGGTTTCATTCGGCCGAGCGTGTCACCTTGGGGAGCACCCGTTCTCTTTGTCAAGAAGAAGGACAGTTCCGTGCGCATGTGTATCGACTACCGGGATCTTAACCGGTTGACGATCAAGAACAAGTATCCGCTTCCCAGGATCGACAATTTATTTGATCAGCTGAGGGGAGCCTGTGTTTTCTCAAAGATTGATTTGCGATCAGGCTACCACCAGCTGAAGATCAAGGAGTCAGATATTACTAAGACCGCTTTCCGTACTTGTTACAGCCATTATGAGTTTGTCGTCATGCCATTCGGCCTCAGTAATGCTTCAGCGGTTTTCATGGACCTAATGAACCGTATTTTCCATCCTTACCTCGATCAGTTCGTTATTGTTTTCATTGACGATATTCTTATCTACTCGAAGAGCCAGAAGGAGCACGAGGAGCATCTGAGGGTTGTTCTCGAAACCCTCAGACGAGAAAAGTTATATGCAAAATTCTCCAAGTGCGAGTTTTGGCTCCAGCGAGTAGCCTTTCTGGGTCATGTTATTACTCAGGCAGGTATCGAGGTAGATCCTTCCAAGGTCTCAGCTGTTCAGAACTGGTCGACACCGAACAGTCCGTCCGAGGTTCGCAGTTTTCTCGGTCTAGCTGGCTACTATTGCAGGTTTATCGAGGGCTTTTCTAAGATTGCCCTCCCACTATCCCAGCTGACGAGAAAGTCTGTGAAGTTCGAGTGGACTGATCAATGTGAGTCGAGCTTTCAGGAGCTCAAGAAGAGATTAGCTTCAGCACCGGTGTTGACTATTCCCGATCCTTCTTGGAGTTTCACCATTTTCAGCGATGCTTCGAGACGGGGTTTGGGATGCGTTCTTATGCAGGATGGCCAGGTCATCGCGTATGCTTCACGTCAGCTCAAGCCACATGAACAGAACTATCCGACGCATGACTTGGAGTTAGCCGCAATTGTTCATGCTCTCAAGATTTGGCGACATTATCTTTACGGCGGTCGTTGCGAGATTTTCACAGATCATAAGAGCCTGCAGTATATTTTTACTCAAAAGGAGCTTAACATGAGACAGCGCCGTTGGTTTGAGCTTGTCAAGGATTATGATTGCTCTATTCAGTACCATCCGGGAAAGGCGAACGTCGTTGCGGACGCCCTAAGCCGAAAGGTGAGGGGTGACTTGACGTACGTCGAGTCCGTTGATTCAGGAGTTCGCCCGGATGCAGATTCAGGCAGTTGATGCACTTCCTATAGCCATTTCAGGAAGTGTCAGTGCTATGCAGATTCAGCCGATGCTGAGGGAGAGAATCCGGCGGGAGCAGGCTTCTGATGAGTTTGTTCGTGTCATGGATGCCAAAGTCCGCGCTGGAGGCGTCGAGGGTTTTCAGCTAGGTGCCGNNGCCTTAGAGTTCAGAGGCAGGATCGTGGTGCCAAAAGTCGAGGCGTTACGGAAGGAGATATTGACCGAGGCTCACACCGCACCCTATCTAGCCCATCCCGGGAGCACAAAGATGTATCATGACCTGAAAGGGTCGTTCTGGTGGCGAGGAATGAAGAAAGACGTCGTCGAGTTCTTCAGGAGATGTCTTACCTGTCAGCAAGTCAAAGCCGAACATTAGTGTCTGATCGGCCTCCTACAACCACTGTCGATTCCGAAGTGGAAGTGGGAGGAAGTCACGATGGATTTCGTCACGGGATTACCGAGGTCGTCTGAACATCACGATGTGATTTGGGTCGTGGTCGACAGATTGACTAAGGTCGCTCATTTCTTACCCGTTTCGATGAAGATGTCTTTAGATAAGTTGGCTGAGATATATACCCGTGGGATCATTCGACTCCACGGAGTGCCCATTACTATCGTATCAGACAGAGATCCCAGATTCGTCAGTAGATTCTGGCAGAGTTTACACGAGGCGATGGGTACGAAGCTAGAGTTCAGTTCAGCCTACCATCCGGAGACTGATGGTCAGTCCGAGCGGACCATTCAGACGCTTGAGGATATGTTACGCGCTTTTGTTGTGAACAGAGGTGCTAAGTGGGAGTCGTTGTTGCCGTACGCTGAGTTTGCGTACAATAACAGCTATCATTCTTCTATTCAGATGACTCCTTACGAGGCACTTTACGGTCGTAAGTGTCGTTCACCTCTTTATTGGGACGACGTCGAAGAGCGTCGAGTACTCGGTCTGAAATTGATCGAGGAGACAGCAGAGCAGGTCGAGTTGATTCGGCAGAGACTCAAGACAGCTCAGAGTCGACAGAAATCATCAGCCGATCATCATCGACGAGATATTCAGTTCGAGGTTGGCGAGCCAGCTTTTCTTAGAGTTCGTCCTATTCGCGGAGTTGTTTGATTCGGGAAGAGAGGGAAGCTGCACCCTCGATTCATTGGCCCGTTCGAAGTTCTAGAGCGAGTGGGCGAAGTCGCGTACCGATTAGCCTTACCTCCCGCGCTATCCGACATTCATAATGTCTTTCATGCATCTATGTTGCGTAAGTACGTGTACGACCCCGATCATGTCATTCCTCATACAGATATTCAGATTCAGCCAGACTTATCGTACGAGGAGCGATCGGTAGCTGTACTGGACCGTCAGGTTCGTCGGCTCCGGAAGCGAGATGTTCCTCTCGTGCGTATTCCGTGGGATCGCCACAGAGCTACTTGGGAGGCGGAGACTGACATTCGCGCTCGTTTTCCAGATTTTCAGTTCTGACGTACATATTTTCATGATTCATGTACATATTTCATGTATAATCAGTTCGTTTTGAATTTCCGAGGACAGAAATTTTTAAGGAGGGAGGATTGTAATATCCCGTCAGATTAATAATATAAATTATATTTTAGTTCCGATATAATAATATTGTTGAGTATTATTTCCGGAATTAATTATTTTCAGTCGAGATTACCAAAAATTATTTTCGACGTCCCGTTTACGTTCGGAATAATTTTGGTAATTAAGTATCATGTCTAATTAATTAAGCATGCTTTCTCGAAGCCGTACGTATTTGCCCAAATTTTAATAAATTTGTCGTGAGCATTTTCTCCAAGTGAGGGAAACTTATTCTCCCTTTTTGCTAGCATGAGGTGGCATGTTTTAGAGAGATTTGGGATGACTAAGGTTGTGATTTGATGAGTACTCCTCCTTAGACCATATTAAGCTAGCAAGTGGCATCATGAGAATTAACCAACAAGGCTCCCCATCACCTCCTTTCCTTTCGGACGCCATATATATAGCCTAGATTGGAGCAAATTTTCCCATCTTCTTGCAGCATATATATATAAGTATAGAGATTAAGAGAGTTGTGAGGATTTGCTAAAGAGTACACACGCACGCGGAGAGGTAACCGCACCCTAGCGCCGAGGATACCGCACGCACACTGTAACGCCCCGTATTTTATTAATAAAGGAAAATACTAGCTTTTAATTTTAAGCTAGCCTTTGTTAATAAATAATCATGTTCATGTTCAAGTTCAGGTTAATCAGTTAGTTATATTCCAAGTTCGACAAATAGTCGATAAATTATTCGGTTAATTATCTCAGTAACCGAATGAGTTTCAGATTTAATTCTGACTTATTGAATTAATTTCGGAATTAATAGTTAAGTTGACGAATTATCCGAAATATCGATATTCGGATTAATCGTCCAAGACAAGAATTCGAAATTACTAATTTCAGTCGAGATTATCCGAAATTATTTTCGACGTCACGTTTACGTTCGGAATAATTTTGGAAATTAAGCATCATGCTTAGTAATTAATTAAGCATATAAGATTATGCTTAATTAATTAGTAAATCATGGTTAAGTTTTAAAAATGTCGTAGCATTTAATCAATTTTCCTCTAATCATTTGTTATTGCCGTGAGCAAAAATAGTTGGGGAAAATTGTATAAGTTCATGTATTAGTCATCAATTGTTAAGCATGAGGTGTTATTCTAACCATTCTTTATTTATGACTAAGCAAAGTTGAGGTCATGACTAAGCCAAATTAAACCATGTGTTTAGCACTTTTTCACCCCCTCATTTCGTCCATATATATATATATATATATACTTCATCTTAAGCTAGTATAAGTATAAGAGAGTTAGAGAGATTTGGGAGCAATTGCTTTGGCATAACAAGTTTAGCACACGCACGGCGAGTACCGCACCGCACGCGCATGGAAGCTTGAGTCGTCGAGAGTTAAGCAATTAGGCGAGCTAGTGAGGAGGTAATCGTTTGAGATATCTCTTTCCTATATCATTAGCGTCATGTTCAGCTTATGGCATGCAGCCAATTTCATAGTGTAGCCTTGAGTCGCCCTCGGCCGTGTGTTCGGTCATGTGAGCACGTTCATGTGTTGATGTGAAATCTTTCGATCAAACTTCGCATGTCTAGTCATTTTATGCGATATCATGTTCAGTCAAATTGTTTTGTCCGAAGTATATTCATGTTTGTTCGGTAAATCGGCCGAGGGGCGTGGCCGTGCACGTAGCACGCGCCTGATGACGGATCGGGTGTTGCGTTCCCTCGACTTGTCTCGATCACGGCTTCGCCACGGCCTTGCTCTCGACGATAGGTGTGATCGACTCAGTTATTAGCCTAACTCTCTCACGATACTTGAGTTCACTCGGGTACTAGCCTCGCTACACTCTCGAAATAGATCGGGTCTTAGCCTCTCTAAATCGTTGAACTGGCTTGGGTCTTAGCCTCACCAATTCGGTTGCATGATCGAACTCTCACGAATCCTAACACACGGTTTCGAACAAATGTTCTTTTCTATTTCATCAAATCCAAGACATCAAAAACAATGAGGGATGACCCCTATTTATAGATCCTAACTATGACTAATTCTAATCTACCTAGAAAACATATTAAAGCAATAAAATATTAAATTCCTAAACATTCTAGATATTATTGTGCAAGAAGGAAACTAAATATACTAGAGTCCTAAATTGACTAGATCTTGATCTTGCTTGGCTTGCACTCCAAACAATTCCAATCACACGCCCCAAGTACTTTCGGCCGCCTCATATGCGCGCCGCCGACCCTCGGCTTTCCTATTTCTCATCGCGCGCGGTAACCCGCGCACATGCCTTCTCCTCGTCGCGCGCGGTATTACGCGCCGTGTGCCCCACGCATGCGCCCACCGCCATTGCTTCGCCTAGTCCCATGCGGACTAGGCCGTCCGCTTCGTACGCGCGCGCCATCGCGCGCTCCCTGCGCTCGCCACCTATCCCCCACGCGTGTACCTCCCGCATTCTTAAGCCTCCGAGGCTTAGGTCCCCGCCCGCGTCCGGGTCACCGTCCGCGCCCTAATCGCCTACGGCGCACCCTACCGCGTCCGCTACTCCACGCGTCGCCTCCCTCGCCCGCGGGCTCCGATCACCTCCTGCGCATCCTTGTGCGTCCACTGCGTTGCCCGTATCGCTCACTCCCACAAACTACCCATTCGCGTCCTTATCACGCCCCGTCGTTATGCCACCGAATGCCAGTGCGTCCCAATCGACCTCCGCGACTTGCCCGACTGTCGTGCATCCATGTGTATCGTCCTGTTCCGTCCAACCGTGCGCATCATGGGCCGATGCGCGCCATTCTCCCATTAGCCAATCATCGTCGCCCTCCTTGTTACCGCTCGTCTCCGTTGGCTCGGGCCATGGGTCCCAACCTTTTAACCTCTCACAATCGTCCACCGGTATCCACCACCCTTTGTCAACCCATCGCAAACCACGCCTTCTAGCCTCCTTCTTTCGTGCTCGTCTCTTCCTTGTACAAGGCTTACACCAAAAGTATGATTCCTTATCCTTTGCCTTGCATTTCCTTCGGGCTCGTTTGGTCTTGCGCTTCTTAATCTTCAACTTGGCCCATGGACCACACCCTTTCGGCCAGTCTCTCTTGCATGATGGTCGATAAATCGGGCTTGATGGCTCTTCCAACATGTTTTCCAGCCATATGTCGAGACCATCGTCCTCTTCCTCGTCGGACTCGCCTGGGTTGATGACCACTTCCGTATCAGCGCCACGGGCCGCTCATGTGTATTAAGTTCATTAAGTAAATATTCTTTCGAACAACCATGTCTATTTACTCAGTAAATCATATTTTATGTTCAGTTGAGGTTGAGTTGCCGAGGTAAAAGTCAAGTCGGTCGAGAAACGGCCTAACGTCGTCGGCGGCGCACGGTGCGTTCGCCAGGGCCATGATCGATTTATTGTGCAACTTT